GAAATTTGAAGGATAAACAATGTTAGAAAATGATGGAATGGAATGATAGATAAAAGAGCTTTGAAGTGTCCACAAAATAAAATAAAGTTTAGTGCATGTAACATTTCATTTTTTATTTATTAAAGAATTTTTTTTTAATGTTTACTTATTTTTGAGAGAGAGAAACAGAGTGAGAGTGGGGAAGGGATAGAGAGACAAGGAGACACAGCATCCGAAGGAGGCTCCAAAGCTCTGAGCTGTCAGCACAGAGTCCAACGTGGGGCTCCAACTCACAAACTGCGAGATCATGACCTGAGCTGAAGTGGGACGCTTAATGGACTGAGCCCCCCAGGCGCCCCTAGTGCATGCAACGTTTTGATGACAATCTATATGTTGGAAACAGTTCAGTATTTAGAAGCCATGTTTCTCAAATAGTAAAGGAGGATGTTACAAAAGGGAAGTCTTAAAAAAAAGAAAATCACCCTGGGATACTTTCCACCCACCCGTTGGCTTAAGAGTTTGAGGTGATTGGGACAAGGGAAAATAGGATCGACATACTAGCAAGAAACATTTTTCCCAGCCATTTGTTCATCTTTCAAAATATTTTTAAAGACGGAGATGAAGATGACGAAGACGAAGAGGAAGATGAAGCTGGTCCACCAGAAGGCTATGAGGAGGAGGACGAGGACGAGGAGGAGGAAGAAGAGGAGGAGGAGGAGGAGGAGGCAGGCTCAGAACTGGGAGAGGGAGAAGAGGAAGTGGGCCTCTCCTACTTAATGAAAGAAGAAATCCAGGTGAATAGGCACTTTTTACCTGCACTGAAAGCCATTTAGACCTAAGGTCAAGTCCTAAAGTAGGAAGTTGAGTGGAAAGCTGAAAGCTGTTCCTGACTTGTGGGTCTGCATGTATCTGTCTGCCTGTCCTTTTTCCCACTGTCCGTCAGCTCACAGTGTATCCAGATAATCGCAAACCCCCATTAATTTTACCACCCAGCTATTGTTCAAAACCGCTCAGCCCTCAGTGGTGTGGGACGGCGGAGAACATTTTACAAAAGTTTCTGAGCCTCAGCTTCTGCATTTATAAAACGGAGATTATACCAACCTCTTAGGATTATTTTAAGGAACTGACAGGATAATACACTTAAAGTATCTAGTCCCCGGCACATCGTAGGCACTCAAGAAGACTTTCCTTTCCCCTAATTATGTCTTGCTAATGGTTTTGTAGTAGCTTTCCAAATGGTCTCTTTGAATACAGTGTCACCACAAAGGTGTATCATCCACAGTATGTGCTTGGGTACTCTGAATGCAAATGAGATCATGTCACCAGGCTGCATGAATCACTTTGTTTCCCTGTTGCCACCAAGACATACAAGGCCCATCATTATAAGCCCCTGCTTCCTCCTCTAGCCTCTTCTCCCTCAGTACCAAATTAAATTGTCACACCGAGCTATTTCTTGCCTTTCTGACTGTAGCTACATTGTGTATTCTATCTGTAGTGACTTTCTACCCATGCTCTCTGGTGAACTTTATTTTCTGTTCTTACTGAGGTAAACATAAGTATAGTAAAGCTTGTAAAGTACACTGATTTTATGTACAAGTCCATGACCAAGCCACTTATGTATATATACTCCTGTGACTACTATGCAAATCATGCATTGCAGACTCTTTAAAAACTGTTTTGGAGTTGCTTCATTATTGAAGCTTTCTGTAAATTTTCATAGATAACTACTCCTTCCTGTGTTACCTTTGAACCTTGATTAGGCTTTATTGCCTATAGACACTTTTGTAAAAACTTGTTTATTTGGCCACTTTCTACTTGAGGGTGAGCTCCTTGAGGGAAGGGCCATTTATCTTTGTATCTCAGCATCTAGTGCGTTGACAGGAACATAGTAAGCTCATAGAAAACGTCAGTTGACTTGAACAAATGATCTTCAGCCCCTGGGAATTATTATTTTCTCCTAATGTTGTTAAATTATTATTTTATGTTAATAATTCAAAGTTTTTTATTATTAAAAATAATATCTCTTGATTTAGACCAGGAATTGTTAGCATTATTTGTTTTCCTAATGACCTTTACATTGGTTAGATAGGTGATATCACTGATGATAATTTTTCTCCGATATAATTCTATTATTTATTTATTTATTTATAAGGAGGGGGAGGAGTGTAGAGAGGGAGAGAGAGAATCTCAAGTAGACTCTGTACTACCCACTCAGAGTCTGTCCTGGGGCTTGATTTCATGAACCATGAGATCACAACCTGAGCCAAAATCAAAAGTCAGATGCGTAACCGATTGAGCCATCCAGACACCCCTAGTATTAAGTAGTTTAAAACCTTAAAAAGTTTTTTTTAATGTTTATTTATTTATTTATTCATTTTTTCCCCCAAAATTTTTAACGTTTATTTATTTTTGGGGGGGGGGGTGGAGGCGCAGAGAAAGGGAGACGCAGAATGCGAAGCAGGCTCTAGTCTGTGAGCTGTCAGCACAGAGCCTGATGTGGGGCTTAAACTCCCGAACCGGGAGATCATGACCTGAGCCAAAGTCGGATGCTTAACCAACTTGAGCCACCCAGTCACCCCATAATGTTTATTTATTTTTGAGATGGAGACAGGGGCAAGCAGAGGAGGGGAAGAGAGAGGGAGACACAGATTCTGAAGCATATTCTAGGATTCACGCTGTCAGCACAGAGCCTGATGAGGGGCTTGAACTCACAAACTGCGAGATCATGACCTGAGCTGAAGTCGGATGCTCAACTGACTGAGCCATCCAGGCACCTGCCCCTAAAAATGACTTTCAACTGGGGCGCCTTGGCGGCTTAGTGTGTTAAGCGTCTGAGTCTTGGTTTTGGCTCAAGTCATAATCTTGTGGTTCGTGAGTTTAAGCCCTCTGTCGGGCTCTGGTGGCGTGGAGCCACGCACTGTCTCCCAAAAGAAATAAACATTAAAATGATTTTCAACTGACTGCTGATGTTTGTGTTTATCATTCCACTGAATATTGGGAAATGTTAAAAGTGACACAGTCCAGTATAGAGCAAAAATCTGAGGTAATTCCCACGATGTTAAGTCAGTGTAGTACCTGCATGGTTTGAGTAATATTTTTATTTCATCTGCTCTTTAGAGGTAAGGAATTAATATGGATAAAGAAGGTCTTGATGTATCTGTAGGACATTTCGTTAAAAATGGGGATGGGGGCTGTAGAAGAATTGGGAATTGTGGTGCCCCTGTACTGTCATAGTACAATGAGGAAACATGTTATTTCCCATTAATTGGGAAAAGATCATGGTTTCTACTGAACAAGTCACTGATGAAAGCTGAGTCTTTATTGAGGGGTATCATCTAATAGATGACATTAAAAACTAAAGGCTTAGATGATAGCTATACTTGTGGTGAGTGTAACATAAGATATAGACTTGCTGAATCACCATGTTGTACACCTGAAACTAATGTAACATGGTGTGTCAAGTCTACTTCAGTTTAAAAAAAGGCTTAGAGATGCCTGGGTGGCTCAGTTGGTTAAGCGTCTGACTCTTGATTTTGGCTCAGGTCATGATCTCACAAGGTTAGTGAGATTGAGCCCCACGCTGGGCTCTGTGCTGACAGCGCAGCACCTGCTTGGGATTCTCTCTCTCTCCTCTCTCTGCCCCTCCCCTGCTCCCTTTCTCTCTCTCTCAATAAACATTAAAAAAATAATAAAAAATAAAAAAGGCTTAAAAACATGAATCAACTTTTTAAAGTTTATTTATTTATTTTTGAGGGAGAGAGAGAAAGAAAGAGAATCCCAAGCAGGCTCTGCACTGACAGCATGGAGCCTGATGTGGGGTTCGAACTCACAAACTGTGAGATCATGACCTGAGCCAAAATCGAGAATCAGATACTTGGCACATCTGGGTGGCTCAGTTGGTTTAGCACCCAGCTTCAGCTCAGGTCATGATCTCACAGTTGGTGGGTTCCAGCCCCTGCTGGGCTCTGTGCTGACAGCTCAGAGCCTGGAGCCTGCTTGGGATCCTGTCTCCCTCGCTCTCTGCCCCTCCCCCACTCACACTCTGTCTCTGAAAAATAAATAAAATGTTAATTAAAAAAAAAAAAAAGGTCAGATACTTAACTGACTGAGCCACTCCATGAATCAATTAGTTGAACCATATTTTGTTTAAAGCAAAATCCAGAGAAGTAATTAGCTTTTGAGACTTGGGCTTTTCTAAATTAAGGAATAAATGTGATTAGTGTCTCCACTGTTTTTTAAAAAATTGCAAATATTTAAATATCCTCACTTATCATTTGCAGATAGGAGATGTTTAAAATGTGTCCCTTGTTTTTCTTTCTTTTTATTTCTTTCCCTTTCCTTCCTCTTCCTGTCCCCTCTCTCCTCTACCCTTCTCTCTTCCTTTCTTTTCCTCTTTAGTTTAAGGCTTTAGGTTCTCCTGATTTTTACTGTGGTTCCTTTTTATACTATTGGCTACCCCATCTATTTCTTCTGCTCCTTGTAGCTTGATGATGTTCTGGTATAGAATGCTTTTCAGTATTTGAATTAATTGTATAAGACTGATTTCTGATATGAGTGTTGTGCAGTTGAGTTTCTCAGGGGATCCTAGCTACGTGCTGGGAAATTAAGTTCTGTTTAGTATTTCTAGACACAGATGGGGCTATGGATACTGTGAAAGGGATGGGTTGTACAAATTTTCCTTCAATACCCAGCAATTCTTGACATTTTCCAATTAAAGTGTTTCTTTTATGTTTATTTTTGAAAGAGATAAAGAGTGAGTGGGAGAGGGGCAGAAAGAGAGGGAGACACAGAATCCAAAGCAGGCTCTGCACTGTTAGCACAGAGCCTGATATGGGGCTCGAGTCCACGAACCATGAAATTATAAACTCAGCTGAAGTCAGACACTTAACCGATGGAGCCACCCACGTGCCCTGCCAGTTAAAATATTTTTAAGGAGCAGTAAACTTTTGTGGGGTTGGAGGGGAGACCCTAGATTGGTGTCATTTTTTTCAAACATATAGTAGAACTCAACTATTTGGCAGTAAGTGTAAAAGGCCTCTGAATAGCCAACATAAAGTAACCAAAGACATTTTCTTTGTAGGACAGTGTTTCAGCTGTTATTCTAAACCTATTTTCTCTTTTATATTCAAATCTCTAATAAGCTTATTGATCTATTTTCTGAATCCATAGCAGATTAAAATTGAAGTAGTAACCTACTGTAAAAGAGAAGGCACGAAAACTAGGAAAAGGTACAATTAAAAGTAGAGGTGAGGGTCATTTTTAAAAGGAGAAAACCATCCTACATATATTAATAGGCTCTGAGGGAATAGCATACACTAATGAGTATAATGTTCATGGTCAAAATGATGACTGATTATGCAAGGGAAAGGTTTGTTAGCATAAAATGGTAGTGCACTTTAGAGATTTGTATCCCAATTGGTTAAAGTAAAAAAAAAAAAAAAGTTATGATGTTTCAAGGCTATGTTTACATCTTAGCTATCCTGAACAGCTCTTTCACAAGAGTTGTAGATCAAGTTTTGTGACTTTTTTGTGTGATTTTTTTTGCTGTTTTGATGTGTAGATTTTTAGATATAGAAGGAACTTGTAGATCTTTCTAGATGAATACTTTCTTTTATTGATTAGGAAACTGAGGTCCAGGGGCACCTAGGCGGCTTAGTCGGTTAAGTGTCCAACTTCGGCTCAGATCATGAAGTCACTGTTTGTGAGTTCGAGTCCCACGTCGGGCTCTGTGCTGACAGCTCAGAGCCTGGAGTCTGCTTCAGATTCTGTGTCTCCTTCTGTCTGCCCCTCCCCGACTCATGCTCTGTCTCTTTCAAAAATAAACATTAAAAAAAAAAAAAAAGGAAAACTGAGGTCTAGAGAGATTAAGTGACATATTTAGTGCATATTACTATGTTGGGGCAAGAATTCAGGTAATTACTTTCTCACTCTATAAAATAGAAGACCTTTCTTTGAAATAGTCTAAAGGTACTCTGTCCATTATAGTAGCCACTGGACATATTTCGTTATTTAAATTAAAATAAAATGAAAAATTTAGTTCCTTGTTTGTACTGGTCACATTTTATTTTTTTATTTTTATTTACTTCATTTATTTTTTAAGATTTTTTTTAGTTTTAAGTAATCTCTACAGCCAACATGGGGCTCGAACTCACAACTGCAAGATCAAGAGTTGCACACTTTGGGGCGCCTGGGTGGCTCAGTCAGTTAGGCGTCCAACTCTTGATTTCGGCTCAGGTCACGATCTCTCACGGTTTGTGGGTTTGAGTCCCACATTGGGCTCCATGCTGACAGTGCAGAGCCTGCTTGGGATTCTCTCTCCCCCTCTCTCCATCCCTATCCCACTTGCACACACACACACACACACACACACACACACACACACACTTTCTTTCTTCTCCCCCCCGCCTTCACTTCTCTTCTCCTCTCTCTCTCTCTCTCAATGGATAAATAAACTTAAAAAAAGTTGCATGTTCTGCTGACTGAGCCAGCCAGGCACCCCTGTGGCTCAGTAGCCACATGTGGACAGCATAGATACAGAACATTTCCATTGTTGCAGAAAGTTCTTTTGAACAGTGCTGGTCCAAAACATAAATTACTTTCATACAGAATCTAGATTTAGTTGGGTTCCTAGAAAACACCTATGTAAGTTAGGCACAGGTTGTCAGAATGTAGAATGACCATAGTTTTTTGCTCTTGTTGGAATGTATTATTACCAAACAGTGAAAAATATGTGTCATGGCTTTTTATTCTCCAATCGAATATTTGATTTTCAAGGATGAAGAAGATGATGATGACTATGTTGAAGAAGGGGAAGAAGAGGAAGAAGATGGTGAGTTACATTAGCCATTAAAGAAATCCTAACATTCAAGTTACAGCTATTATTCATATATACTTTAACAAATGAGTCTATAATTCAAATTGTAATTGATTTTGGTAACATAGAGCACCTTGAGAAGTATGAAACCTTTTTCTTTTAAAATTGATTTAAGTAATCTCTACACTCAACGTGGGGCTCGAACTCATGACCTTGGTTGGGATCAAGAGTCTTATGCTCCTTGTAATAAGCCAGCCAGGCACCCCTAAAACCTTTTTAAAAGAGTAATGTTCTCAGGGCATTCAATAATTTCATTAAAAAACAAACAAAAAACCAGCCTCTAACATTTATTTTTATTAAAAAAAATTTTTTTTTAAACGTTTATTTTTGAGAGACAGAGAGAGACAGAGCACGAGCAGGGGAAGAGCAGAGAGGGAGACAGAGAATCCCAAAGCAGGCTCCAGGCTCAGCTGTCAGCACAGAGCCCTATGCGGGGCTAGAACCCACGAACTGTGAGATCATGACCTGAGCCAAAGTCGGACACTTAACCGACTGAGCCACCCAGGCACCACTCTAACATTTATTTTTAAAATGGTATGAAGAGATCATGGAACCTTGAGCCTTAATTTATTACTTTCTTAGGTCTTTCATTTTGAAGAGGGTGAAGCCTTATCTCTCAAGAGAAGAGCAGTGGAATTCTCAAATAATGCTCTCTAGTCCTCTTTACCTAGGTCTTTCAAAATAAATTTAAAAATTCGCTAATAATTCTTGTAATGACAAGCCCCTAGTTTCTTGATCTGTACTTCATGATTTGGCCACAAGGGTGCACAGCAAGCTGTCATTATTTATGGATTTCTGTCTATTAAGCCTTTATAATACACTAAAATTGAAAAATTTTAAGAGGAAACTTAAACCTATAATTAAAAAAAAATTTTTTTTAATGTTTATTTCTTTTTGAGAGAGAGAGACAGAGCATGAACAGGGGACAAGCAGAGAGATAGGGAGACGCTGAATCCAAAGCAGGCTCCAGGCCCCAGGCTCTGAGCTGTCAGCACAGAGCCCTTTGCAGGGCTCGAACCCACTAACCATGAGATCATGACCTGAGCTGAAGTCGGATGCTTAACCAACTGAGCCACCCAGGCGCCCCAAACCTGTAATTTTTTTTATGCCATTAAGTTTTCACTAAGATAGATTCAAAACTTTGTAATTTAACAGGTACTCATTTGTTAAAATTGAGTACTTTACAATTTTTCTTTCACTCTTCCTTCAGAAGAAGAAGGTCTTCGAGGGGAAAAAAGGAAACGAGATGCTGAAGACGATGGAGATGAAGAAGACGACTAGATCATTCTAAGACTAGATTCCCTAAAGTTCCTGGGTGTGCAATAGAGTGATCACATCTTCTTTGTTTCTTCATGTACCATAGTGAACCCTACGGAAAATAACCTGTAACTTTTTATAGGAAAAGTGTGGTTTTACTATTTTTGCCTTATCATTCCAAATAAGATTTACTAGTCTGTTAATGATCATACTATATGTAGAGAAAACATTTTCATTGACCCCGTTGTGAAATTCCCTAGCAATTTATTTAGAATCTTCATTTTTCTCATTCAAGCTCATTGTATTAGTTATTTTTAGCCCATAATTAAAACATGATCACTTTTACACAGGCGCAGTTTGGTGCATTTCATTCATAAGGTTTTAAAGTTATTTATAGTTAACGGAAATCACGATCAGCTGGAATATGAAATGAAGTCTCTTGAATGAGAAGTTGGTTATTTTTTTAGAGGTGACCCAGAGATCTTTAGTTTGAAGGCAATGACTTTTTTTTTTTTTTTTTTTTTTTTTTTTTTTTTTTTTTTTGGCTAAGGGTATTTGGATGCTTTTTTGTCACTTGAGTAGCTTGGAAAGTAGGAGCAGAATAGTAAAGGTTCTACTCAACAATATAGTTCATAGCTTTTGTGGAGGCTTCTGAAAACTTAAAGTCAGGTGACTAATACGATTTTCTTTTTGAAGTTCAGAGAGATGTGTTCAGAGACATGCAGGTGAGCCCTTTCTTTTTCAGGCTGAAGATTACAACATACTAGTAGGTTGGTTATTTTGTTTTTAAATGTGCATTCTTTATTTTCCTCCCAGCAATTCCTTTATAATCACTTTCATTTCTTTTTTCACTCCTCTCCCTCTATCTCAGAAAAAAGTTGGGAAACTCATGTGATACCCAGGAAAACTTTTAGTCTTTTATACCTCAACCACCTTTTCAGACTGTCTCAGTTTTAAACAAGCTAAGTGAAAGAAATTGAGTATTTTCTGAGATACGAATATTATTACCAGTACATTTGTATGCAACAGATTCTGCTTACTGTAAATCATTTTTGATTGACAAGATGTACAGACCGTATTATTAGGATGCAGAAAGAAAAGTAGAGGAGGCTTTCAGAAGCAGAATTAATATTCCTCAAAAGTCAGAACTATTGCCTGTTGATAATTAATGAGACATTCAAGTCAAATTTTCAAGTTAGCTTCCCAAACGATTTAGATACCACACTGCAAAGTATTTCTAATTTTTCTGAGTAGAACCTTTCATTATTCTTATAGTTTTAAGGTATTACCAGATATAGCTTTTAATTGGAATATACTGGGCAGTTGGAAACATATTTGAAACTAAATCAGTATTCAAGATTAAGATTTATTTTCAAGTGGATGTCCATTAAAAATCGAAAATATTTCAGGACAAATGTGTGTTTCTATATATGGCTACTAAATATAATAACAATAGAAAAGTACATCCCCTTTTTGTTGTGGAGGCTCCACGGTCAAGGCAATTGCTTTTGAAATTCTTGGCTATCTAAATGTTTTTCTGCTTTGTTTTGGATATCTGTAAGTTTTTGTAAAGTTAGCATTCAGCAAATTAATTGAAGTTACTGGGACACATTTAAATTACTGAGTAAAGAACTTCTTTTTTAGTTTCAAATGTATGACTTTGGGTTTTAGAGTAAAAACTACGAAGTTATTTGTGGGTAAACTAAAAACGTTGCACCAGTGACTGAAATAAAACTCTTGGAATAAGTTTTGAGGGGGGGATTGGAATCTCCAAAAGGCTAACATTTTACTCCTTTTTAACATTTGAAATGCCCTGTTGTAGTCCCTAAGAATTCTCATCACAGAGTATATGCCAGACTATAAAATACTTATTTTTAAAATGAAATCTATATACTGACTTTATCAATCGTCTTGTTGTGCAATCAAAATTAGAGTTCTTTGGTTTGAAAACAACATTTAGAGCCTCCAAATGACTTTTTTAAGACTTATTTAGCTTTGTGGGTGGTATTTTCATGCAAATAAGTAAGGGTGGGTTTTATATTTTGTAGAAGTTTTTGGTCCTATTTTAATGCTCTTTGTATGGCAGTATGTATATAGTGTGTTAAATTCCTCAAAACTGTCCTTAAAAAACTTTGAAGTTAATACTTTTGTGCAACTGTGTTTTGAATAAAGCCATGACAGTGTTAAAAACAAAAAAATGCAGCACTCCTGATTATTTTGTTTCTGACTGTTCCCTGTTTTTTTTTCTTCTGTGACTGCTGTAACTTAAAAGTTTTTGAAATTGAATTGCTTCAAATAAATGGAAGATTTGTTAATAGTTTCAGTGTATGACATTCACTTTTTGAACCCTCCATTGGGGCTTTGAATGTCTTTTTAAAAACAGAAACAGCCCGAAAGTTCTCAAACACTTGGATGTCATGTGAGACATTACAATTTGATAGTTTAACTCATCATCTGCCTTATTTATTCACTTTTGTCCAAGAAGCAGAAAAAATTCTGGGTTCCTTTAACTTTCCTTTTGGAGTTGCAAATTGAGCCAGTACGTTTTGTATTTTGATTTGAAGTCATAACTTTGTTTCCGACAGTTGATGTAACCTATCCATAGTTAACTAACGTTATTATAAACCTGTCATACACCAGTAGTTTTTAAAAATGAATCCAAAGTCTTCATTTATACTGTATAGTGTTTATTTTCAGAATCCTTAAGATAATATGATACAAACCTAATTCGTGTTTACCTTGAGTAAATCAAACCTGAACCAATATTTTTTTCTGCTCTCTGGGTTATCCAGTGAGAAGTGATTTTTAACATGTTTCATTTGTAGACAGCTTTGGCATGTGTCTATTTATAAAGTCAAGGCACAAGCATGTGAAGTAATGTTTTTGTGATTACTTAAAGTTTAATATTGGAAAAGTATTTTAATTACGGAACTCTGCTCCCTGAGAGGTGGAAAATATTGGAGTGTGTCTCAACTACAGAAACTGTTTATTGAAATTGTGTGTGTGTTGTACCTCTTTAAAAAATTCGGGGGTGCCTGGGTGGCTCAGTTAAATGCATAACTTTTGATTTTGGCTCAGGTCATTATTTCCTGGTTCGTGGGATCGAACCCCGCATGGGATTCTCTCTCTCCCGCTCTCTCTGCCCCTCCCCCACTTGTGCGCGAGCGCGCACACGCGCGCGCTCTCTCTCTCTCTCAAAATAAGTAAACTTAAAAAAAAATTCAAAACGTTTTACCCCTTGGTTAAATAAAATGGTATAACTACACTAAAAGTTTTTGATTAAGGTATTAGGTAATGAAACAATTCTGTGTGACATGGTGATTCAAAACACAAGTATTGTTTATTCCTTCTATATTTTAAAGAGAGGCTTTGTAACAAGGGACATTCTCCCAGTTGCTGAAAATTTCGCCTCTGTTCCTCCTACTAGCAATGATACTCTGCAGCTGGTGCTTAATAATAGCATTCTACTACTGCATTCCTTTTTCATGTACTAATGAGCCTAAGATTTGAAAACAAGGCTTGGGTAATTGGCCCGAGGCAGCTACTTGTGTTAATCTGTTGATCAGCCCTAACTTGAAGGAGAACAGGTTATACCACAAAATGGAAATTACAAAATGGGTTGATCTCCAGGAAAATCTTTATAAAAAGACTTTATATACTGGTAAAATAGTTTCATTTCATACAGAGCTAGTCACTTTTTTGGGGGTGGTAAGATCCAAGCAGGGTTACCTCATAATAGCAATTCTGACTAACAATCAGAAGCAACAATTATTTCTTCAAATTTATGAACATTTACACGTAAATTTTTGCTAAGGCATCATTTGGACCCGGTTACCCATAAAATGCACACACCCACATTACTGGTCTATTGACACAGGCCATCAAATAGGCACACAACACTGATGGAAAAAATCCCATTCTAGCTGTCAGGATGGAACGTTGCCACCGAATACGTCCCTATTTTGTCATCCTCCTGTTAAACATTCAGATGACACCATCTTGCAGATGAAGGCCATGATCTGTGCCTCTACTTTAGTGTGATAAACTCACTCCCCAGCCCCAGAATTAGCTCACTGAAGCTACTGGATTTCTCTACTTGTTGGCCTTTTCTCCCAAGTCTGCTGGCACAGAGACGCCAGCGACGGTGTGCTCGGGGGAGCTGTCACTTATCTAGACAGCTGTGACTAAGGAAGATTGGGGTTGGTAGAAGAATCTTTAAGTGTAACGGAAAGAACTACAGCTGAAGCAACTTTACTTCTTAAGAACCAAAGACAGCAGCACCAGAGGAAACTAGCATCTGCAAGGGAAGCAGCAATTAACTATCACTCTGCAGCTCTGGCAGAGAAGTCCGTGCAAGTCCGGTCCTTTCAGCTATGCATCGCCTCCCCCCGCTTCCTTTTATGAGAGTATTCTAAGTTAAGAACAAATTCATTTCTGCTGGGCTGAGGATTTGTAATTTGTAGGAAATTAGTGAAATTTTCTGACTAGGATCCCAGGTGAGGCGTCTTATTTTTACCAAGGTATCTATAATAGGATGTGTGGAGGGCAATATCCCTTTGTATCGTTTTGACACATCTGACATTTTATCTTTTTGCAGTTTGATTTCCCACTGCCAAGGTTCCTGGAATATAGCTGAAGCTGTCAGCTCTCCCTTCTCATTTCAAGGACTTCAGCCTCAAGATTGAGTTTCTCTAAAGCCTCTTTGCTTGTCACACTCCTCTGGGGCGACTGATTACCTACCACACCCGGTAGGTAATCTTATCCCAGCATCATTGCTTTAGATTATTGATAGAAGGTTTGAATAAACAGAGCGAGAGATTTTTACCTAAATGATTACACTGAAATAAAATCTTCTAGGGGTACGTTTTTGAGGTGTTACCTATCGTAGTCCTATGGGAGACTTGGCTCCTTAAATTTTTACTTATTTCCCCAATCCTCAACCCCTGAAATACAGATAAACCAGTTTTTGTTTTTTGAGAGTACCATTTTTACAAGACGCCCTTTAGGGCATCCAGAGTCTCCACCAGCAGAAATCGGATTTAAGCGTCTTGGGGAGAGAACACCAGGCCTTGAAATTAGAGAAATGAAACTCTAATTAGGGAGAACAAGAAATAAAAAGCGCCAATCACTCCAGACCGTGACCCTGACTTGATTCGCGGGACGCGCAACAAAAAGTTCCCCCAAACCAGATCCTCAGATCCAAAAGCCGGAGTGCAGAAACCAGTGGATGGATCGAAAAGA